AAAATATTCCTTATAATATCTGTTTCTGTTTCTAATAATATTACTGAAAACCATGCGTGAGTTGGGGGAGGGCAGAGGGAGAGAATCTCCAGCAGACTCCCTGCTGAGTGCAGAGCCCTACAGGGGGCTGGATCCCACGACTCTGCGATCATGACCTGAGCCAAAAGCCAATCAGGACGCTCAACTGACTGAGCCGCCCAGGTGCCGCTAGTTCTACTTTTGAAACCAGTTTTGCTGTTTCCTGGGAAGCCAGTGAATTTGTTCATACAAGCCGTGAAGGATTCTGCCTATCATTGTCTTACTTAAGAACAGTTTGGTAGCTTGTCTTCCAAACTGGTTTTAACTTTTGTGGAACTGAGATCCCATTATTGTTTCTCATTTCAGATAGTGGCTTGGCTTCCAAAATATGCATGTAACGTAACTAATTAGAATCAGGACTTTTAAAACTTGCTTGATTTCAGGAGTAAGACGGGCAGGCGATGTGTGACGGCAGGACGGTGTCACCTGTCGGAGCCGTGGTCAGGCCAGGCGCAGGTGCGCTTCTGTTTCTCTTCCTGCTGGCGCTTGCGGCGCGTTGACGGTGGAGCTGGGCCCACCCCGGGGTCTTGTCTCCTACCTGGCCTGGGCCTGCCGTGCCCGTCCATGTGTGAGCTAGTGGAAGCTAGTGAGGGGCTGACCTCAGAGGCCATAGTCTGCAGCTTGCTGCTCTTGGTAAAATGTGGCCACATGTTGGCTTCCGGCCAGATGCTTACAAATAACCAGTGAATCATGAGCATTGCTTAAGTTGTCCTAGAAGCACAGTATATGCAGAAGAAAGTTTTAAAAACTCACACTGTTGTTTAGCAGTTGACATCTTGTCCCCACGGTGGTTAAACAGTGAAATCAGTGTACTCAGCCCTCTTCCTACCTATCCTGGTAGGGCTGGCTTTGGGGTGAGTGGTGGTTTCTGGGACAGGCCTCGTCTGTCACTTTCGTGTTAGAATGGCCCAGCAGACCATTGTCAGGATGATGGGCCTGCAGTTTTCACTGTTCCTCAGAGTGGTTCCTAGAAGCAGCCCATGTGTTTTAGTGGTTGTAGTCTTAACACAGATTTTATCCACTAAGGAAAGAAGTGTCCTTTGGTTAAAAGGAGATTCCTTTCTCACAGTGGGAGTAGCAGTTAGTAGTTTTTTTGGGGGGAAGGTAAACCTCTAAAACCTTACGTATCTCTAAAAGTATTACGTACCCAATTTTAAAATAGCACGTAATGTTATAAACCATAAAAGCAATTAGTCAAAGTAGTGTTCAAAAGGAAATTTCAAGAAAAAATTTAATACAGTATTAACAATTGTATTAAAATGAGAAGAGCAACAGAACAGCTGGATAAATTTTATGACTTGCTTTCCATCTTTTCCATAAAAATACACATGACACAAAGAGCTTTTCATTTTTGACTGTTTTGGGAAATGCTACAGGAATGTAGAAAATAATCTGATTTTGGGTAATTAGATTTACTGTCATCCTGAGTGCATCTCCCTGTGGCACACATGAAGTTGTTTGCCGGGACGCTCTCCTCCAACACTGAGCCCTTCAGAGAAGAAGCTGTAGTCTCTCAGTGCTCTGGTTTATTCATTCCTAATGCCACAGTAATTTATGTAGTGGCAACTGTCGTTGGAGCTTTGAAGTCTGTGAAATTTTAGACATTACAATTGGAAGGAGGTATAGAACTCTCCACTTAAAAAAAAAAAAAAAAATCTTGTATCAGTCCGAGCAAACTGCCATCCACCGTCCACATTAATGGCTCTGCTGATAAGAACCAGGCATCCTTCTTTGGACATCCCTAAGCATCTCATTTTAATTGAGGAGCAGACGGAGGCGCTCAGAGGTTGGGTGTCCCAGCTAGCAAATAGAGCTGGACCTTGGACCTCGTTGTGCCCAGCTGCAAAGCCGACGGCCTTCCGTGGCCCCACACTGTCCTTCCCGTCCCTCTGACTTGACTTCATTGTATCTTATGTCCCCTTGCTGTTGGCCTGTCCCCAACCTGCAAAGATGAGGACGCATTTAATAATAGGAGACAAGAATTACTTTTTGAATGTTGAAAACTATTAGGATTGTTTTGCGCGAGTCTATTACTTACAAAAGATTTTAAGAATGAGAATATTGTTGCATGTAAAAACTTGTGTAACCATGTAATTGAATATATGGATTTGGGGCATTTTTCTGAAAAATTAACCTTGCTTTTATTAAATATCTCTCTGGTAAGACGCATGGTGCTAATAATGTGTATGTGTGACTTTGGAGGAGCCCCACATGTCAGGGCCCATGGAGGGAAAGGTGACCAGGGG